TCTACCTCTCATTTTCCATCAATCCAGGTGAGGCAGTGGCTGTGCTGAACCGGTGCCTGGCCGAGGTAATTGGCTGGATGAGGGCCAATAAACTGAAGCTCAATCCAGACAAGACGGAGGTCCTGTTGGTGGGTGGTTCGGGCCTGGGGACGGGGGACTTGGGCCTTGTCCTAAATGGGGTTGCACTCCCTCTGAGGGACAGGGTTCGCAGCTTAGGAGTGCTCCTCGACCCTGAGCTGTCTTTAGAAGCTCAGGTGACAGCGGTGGCAAGGAGCGCTTTCCTTCAGCTTTGGCTGATCCATCAGCTGCGTCACTTCCTGGAGAACGACTGCCTGGCAACAGTGACACACGCGTTGGTAACTTCCCAATTAGATTTCTGCAACATGCTCTATGTGGGGCTACCCTTGAAGATGGTCCGGATACTTCAATTGGTGCAGAATAATGCTGCCAGGCTGCTGATGGGGACTGGGCGTTGTTCTCATATAACCCCAGTTCTCCGTCAGCTCCACTGGCTCCTGATTGAAATCCGGGCCCAATTCAAGGTGTTGGTTATGACCTATAAAGCCCTCAACCGCTTGGGTCCTGGGTATCTAAAGGAACACTTGTGTCCATATATGCCCTCCCGCCCCCTGAGATCAGCAACAGATACCCTTCTCCAGGAACCCTCTGTGAATGATATTAGGAGGGTGAGTACGCAGAGGAGGGCCTTCTCTGCGGTGGCGCCCCACCTATGGAATGCGTTCCCCAGAGAGGTCCACCTGGCGCCATTGTTATTTGTTTTTCGGTGCCAGGCTAAGACCTTTTTATTTAAAACTTATTTTAAGTGTTAATGTATTGGTTATTTGTAGGATTTTTTTAAAAAAAATTAAGCCAAGATGCACTGGGTTTTAATATTTTTATTGTAATATTTCGTTCTTGCTGTGAGCCACCCCAAGGCTTTGTTGCAATGGGGGCGGCATAGAATTTTTTTAAATAAATAAATAATACCATAATTTACTATTATTTTTGCCATATTTTCTGAATGTAATTGATTTATTACTTTCTTAAATGTTATTCCAAATCCCATCTTCTCTGTTAAGATCTTCATTGTTGGCCATTCCAAATAGTCAAAGGCTTGAAATATATATAATGCTAGTACACTTGCCTTTATATTTTGCTTCCCAATATAGTAGTTAATATTTAATACACTTACTACATCTGACATTTGTTGACCTTTTATAAACCCACATTGATCATTCCTTATATATTTATCTATAAATTTATTCAATCTATTTACCAATATCGCTGTAAAAA